AAGCGTGTACGATAACTAGTGTTGTTCAGGTTCAAGGCTTAAAAAGAAGGATATATATATATATATAATATATATTTATATCTATATCTGCATACTCTGTGTAAAATGCATAAGAAAAAATGTCAAGAAATAAAAATATTCATATACATTAAACCAAATTGTCATAGCTCAGCTACACAGAGTAAATGAGTAAATATTTGATTCAGTGGCATCAAAACCACATCCTTTTGCGCCCCTGGGAACTTGGGACCCTATGCAAATTTCATAAAACCATAACTGCGCATCCATACAGCACGAAAGTGACGATCAATTGACAAAGAATGTTACGCTTAAGTAGGTATATTTACATACACATTTGTAATTCATTTGATATACAGTTTTGTAGCTGTATCTAATAAAATCTATAAAATTTACGAATTGGATGAACTCAAAGGCGACATATGTATGCCATTAATTTGCACTTGAATATTAAATTATGAGTATATATTCCTCTTCAAACTTCTTTGTTAAAATTTCAATTAACAATTCAATACAACTCAAAACAATGTTCAGTCAGTGAATACATTGAAATGTATTTTCATTCACACAATCTTTCTATCATATCTTGCTGTAAATTTTGATATTACGTCTATCATAATTTTTTTAAATGATAAAAATTTGCAAGGTAAACATGTAATTACAGAATTACTAGTATAAGATTTTATTTTATTTACATCACCCAGATTATTTCAAAAGTTTTACGAGTTATTAATGTATGTGCTTATATCTAGAGATACTTAACCAACCCCCCACCCCCGTCTTCAGATAAGCCTATCACCAAGAAATAGTGACCTTGGAAGATTTTATCGCGTACCAAAAAACCCTTAATTACCCATAATCACATTATCTGCCTGCTGGCTTAAACCTTGCCATGGATTACATTATGAATCTATTAATAAAAAGGGGGAAATGTATTATACTGTATTTTTTATGATATACAAGGTTGTACTCGTCTATTCTAAAAGATGCCATGATTTCCAAGAAAATCCACTTTTTAACTATTTAAGGTCAGACGATACGTTCCTCAAATATCTGTTTTGTATACCTTCGAATTATGTGGAAAATATTCAAAATTTTAATAACCTTCTGATTTCTAAACTGATTTCTAATTGTCTTTAAAAAAATGAAACACCAAAAAATGTGTTATTGGCTAATTGAGTTTTTTCCAAAAGGATTTTATAGGAAAAACATCCTCTGGTATCTTGCACAAATGCCTGGTAAGGTACCTTAATTTTTTGCGAGTAAACATGTTAAAGTAGCAATACTTCAATGACAAAATCTTAGAAAAAATTAAATATTATTGAGGAACGTATCGTCTGTCCTTAAGTAAATCCAGTGCTTATCTTTTTTTTTGTAGATATGAAGGTAACCATGTCAATATATATAAAAAAAAATAATAATAATTCTTTTAATTTTGAATTGACGTTCTCCAAATGCAATTGTGACACGATAGCGGTGTTTTTCTTTGAAGTTTGCTGTTCTGTATTTAGCAATACAGAACTGGACTACACAGTGGACGGAGCTACTTTCCGTTCTGTATTAGCCCTATATACTGTCTTGTATTAGCCAACTAGCACGGTCTAAAAATACATCTGATTCAATTTTATGAAAAACACGTACAAATAGTAAATTTCCTATTATAAATTTTGGAGAAACATTTCCCTAGCAATGTAAAAATGTCAAAATTTCTCAATCACTTTTAAAAAAATTATTCCACACAGAATCTACACGTTATTTCGATCCAAACGAAAAGGAAAATTCGCAGTTATGGACAACATCCTATGTTGGATAAATTCCTGAAAACCTGTTTGCTTTCCCTCCTTTTTGTTGGGTCCCCTTCAAAATAGTAAAGCCAATGGGTTCACGGATGCAGCCATCGTCGATAACCCACGGGTGATTCACATCGATTCTCTCTATCATCACCCGGTTTGAGGTAGCTTGTGAACTCAAAACCGTGGTTTGCGACGATGGGATGCAGCATACATTAGGTGAAATTCGCACCCCCCCCCCATTTTCCACTCTTCTTGTGCAAACTCATTCATTTTAGCGATTTTTTCATCTTAAATCCTTATCGCTGACGACTGCCGCACATCATTTTCATTTCGTTTTCAATAAGAAAATAAAAATCCGTGACATCAAAGTCCATCGAAGAACTGTCTGTATCGCCGAAGATTTTAAGACCCCTGAAATAAATTAGGATCAATCTCCATCTACAACAAGGTTAAATTGTCCACCTTATCAATTAAGACTGACTTCAAGTCAATTACGTCTACCCCGTTGTCAAAACTAATCTGACTGAATCTTACATTGTCCTTGGAAATATATATACTGCGGATGCATATTTCCCGCTGATGCATATTCCCCGTCGAGGCCTCATCTACAGAGAGAACAAAGGAACCCGGGGGGAAGTTTAGATGCTCCACAGCTATAAAGTGGGTGGTGCTTTTTCTTGATTGATCGTGTCACAAATCATTTAAAGAACTCGACTGGTTCTGTATCGTAGATACAAATGGGGGCGGAGACTCGTGCTACGCACTCGTCCACCCCCAAATTTATATATATCTACGATGCATAACTCGTCTCGTTCTCTAAAATAATACTTCAAAGGTTACTGATTACATCAAACACATACAAATATTTGATGTTTGATGTGTAATTAGGAAAGACGTTATGAGAAATCGCCATTTAACCAGTCAAACATACTGGGCGTAATTGTTAATCATAATGGGAAAATTAATGAAATCTGGACACTTATCGGGTCAAGAGGAAGGCATTTTGATTTAACTATAGTTGAAGTTTCAATATTGATATAGTAGCATGAACGCAGGTAAAAAGTTATGTGTATAAAGCTTTATATTTTATAAATGTCCAAGTATGGAGAAATTACGTGAAATATAGAGCATTTATTAAAGACTCGCCCTCCGCTTGAAAAGCGGGGGGGGGGGGGGTGTTATAGTGATGGGGTGTTCGTCCTTCCTTACGTCTACGTCCCGCTGTAAACTTGGGGTACCTATATCCAGGCTTTACATGTATGTAACCTCTAAAATTTAGGCGCCGACTGGCTCCTAATCAAAAAATACTAGTCGCCAATGCATATTTTTAGTAGCCTGGTAAATATTCTTAAGCATTAATTTAAAAACTGATATTAGTCAATATATAGAGACAAGTCCATTCCTAACCTTTAAACTCCTTTTCTGCTCTTAATGAAAATGTTTATATCTCAGTAATTTGACGATCGGACAGATATTGGGGTTTCCCATGGAAAAACTTGGACACTGCATGCCATTCTTTCTATAATATTAGGGATATCCTTCTCTTATCTGCATGCAACTCTTCCTATATCAACGAATAAAATTTAATCAGACTTTCACAGAATCTTTACTACAAATTGCGATCCATCGTCGCAAGCCACGGGTTTTGTGTCCATTCTATTTTGTGGAAATAGAATGGACACAAAATCCGTGGCTTGCGACGATGATTGCGATCGTGTACCACCTATTTTCTGATCGGACTGATACTTGGGCTTTCCCATAACAATAAATGGAAAATTAAATTATAAGGAATAGATTTAATAGCTACCCAAGTTATACTTGTATAACCTGGGTTGGAACAGTTTACGTTTTTTTATAAACCGCTTGGTGAATAGTTGATAACGTGTAACACCTGGCAAGTGGAAGAGAAGTGCACATAGATAATAGTACAGCGATGTTTGTACAAGATATGTAACATACATTTGGTTTTAGAGAACAGGGGGAAAATGCACGTTAAAAAAATACACACACATTGTCAAAACAGAGATTCTGTTCTACGAGATGTTCATCCGATTTTCTTGATGCAATTAAATGAAAGGAGTAATTAAAAAAAAAAAAAAAAAAAAAAAAAAAAAAAAAAGAACTGCATTTAATTCAAAAATAGAAAGATCTTCAAACAAGTACTTCTTATATGAGTTAAGCTGTCATAATTGAATAATTTAATTTTGATTGTAACACGCCATTTGATTGGATAGAAAAATTCGTTTATATCGTATAACCTTGCCTACGTCAAAATGACTGACGTCAAAAACGTATCAATCCGCTTGAAGTTACATTTAAAATCTGAAGAACTTGAAGGCCTTTTTGAAGGGAAAATTGTCTTATTTTTTCATTTTATAATAGAAAATTAAATTATAAGGAATAGATTTAATAGCTACCTAAGTTATACTTGTATAACCTGGGTTGGAACAGTTTATGCTTTTTTATAAACCGCTTCGCGGTATATAAAGCGTAAACTGCCCCAACCCACTTTATACCGTATAAATTGGGTAGCTATTAAATTCATTCCTTAAATAATAATTATCTTCACGGATCCAAGATTTTCAGTATAGGAGGCATAAAAAAAGGAATATGTGTTTAGCTGTTTTGATATGTACAGACAAAGTAAAGTATGAGCAAAATGCATGAACCTTTAACTTTTTACTCAGAGATTTTATTTCTGCTTTTCGGCAAAAAGAGGGATTTTGGGAAATACACTTAATTCTACGCCGGAATTAACCTTTAGACGATAGGTGCAATATATGAATACATTGAATCTTTCCACCAACAGCCAAACGTAAGTGAAACGAGGACACAAGTGTAGCAATTTGATTGGTTAATAAACAAAGAAGCATAGAAGTGTTTTCGTCATTATGTGGACCAATGAAAATTGCAAAGATGTTCAATTTGCCAATACTTTTCACTTCGTTAAAATTATATACATGTGTTAGGTTCTTATTTGATTTATTACTGTTAATTAGAATATTTGATTGTTAGAAGAGACGTTAAGTTTCCTGTATGTAATAGGCATACATGTACGTTAATGGCTTCTGGGTTATTTTGGTATCATTACCATCGCAGAACCATATATTATTTCTTTGCCGACAGACTTACGAATTAGCAAAATAACAATTTAACATGCAAAGAGAAAATTTTTTCCTGCAGATTTTTTACAAGCCGAACCCGACATGAAGACAGTCAGTGAGTACTTGGAGAACGTGCTGGAAGAGACGGGTGGCTTTGGGAAGTTCCAGATCCTTCTTCATGGCAGCATTCTCTTCAGTAAGGTGTCCATTACTTGGAGTCTCCTCATCATGGCGTTCGCTGGGGCTTCTCCTGACTGGTGGTGTGTCTACTCCAACACAACTGATGTCCCTTCTACCATTAACTACAGTATCATAGCGAACACCACTATGACGTCACCAGTCCATGACGTGATTCAAGCATATAAAACATGTACACCATCGTCAAACGCCTCTGTCTGTCAGGCATTCATCTTTGATGATAGCATGAAAACAATCATTAACGAGGTTATACTATGTCTAAATATGTGTTATTTTTCATATTTTTATGTAATTAGAGACATGAAGCCCATAAGCCTTAGCCATCACCCGAGTCACACTCCTCTTTCTGATATGTGAATATGCAATTGCTCCTTTACAGTGTTTTTGTTTTCTTGATTTTGAAAACAAAACAAAAATAAACAAAGAAAATAAATTACATGTATGTCGTCCTCGTCCGTGTCCATTTGTTTGGTATTATATATCTACTTTTGTCGCCTGAAACAAAAACATCTCTGTTGCTAAAATGCAAGTTTCATATTCTCAAGAATATTGACAGGGGATACTTACTCCTCCATGGCACCTGATCCCACCTCTGTTTTCAGAGTTCAGTGTTGACTCTGCTTACAACCTGTATTGTTTAAATAGACTTGATCACTGTTCGTTATTTTTACAATTCATTCACTGTAATTTAATATATGGAAGCATTATTCTTTAAGAAGCAGTTCCCAAAAAGTACTTTTATTATAAGGCCCGTAATGATTGGAAGAATGGCTGTCTTGGCTGTTTACAAAACTGCTGCAGCAGTTGAATGATAAATCAGGTCTCATTATTATCGGTAAATAATGCTTTTGCTTTCCTTCAAATCGTAAAAGCTTTTTTGTCCCCAGCGTTTACTGAAAGTGGTGGATATTTAGTTGGGTTTGCCCGTCCGCCTTTCTGTCTGCCATTCTGTGTATGTGGAACAATTTCGTTTCCGGACGATATCTTAAAACGCCTTTGAAATTTTGCAGTGTAATTTTATATCACAACTCCCTATATGGCCTCAGAACAACTCCTATTAGTTTTTAGGTCAAAAAGTCAAGGTCATAAATTCTCTGTGTAACACTTTCATTTCCGGACGATATCTTAAAAAGCTTTTGAGCTTTCACAACGAAATTTTATATCACACTTCTTAATGCCCGATGAAGTCCCCTAATGATCTCAAGTTAAAAGTCAAAAATCAAGGTTGGAAATTCAAATATTGCAAATAACATTTTCCAGACAATAATTTTAGTTTTATTTGAAAGTCTTTCAATGAAAATTTGTCACAACTCTCTATGGGCTACATAAGACCCCGATTGATTTTGTGGTCAAAAGGTAAATGTCATTCATTTTGTCTGTATGTAACATTTATGTTTCTGGACGATATTTTAAAAATCCTTTGAGCGTTTACTATGAAATTTAAAATTACAACTCCTTATAGCCTTAAAAAGATCCCTATTGATTTTGAGTCAATAGGGCAAAGGTCATGTCAGAAATTCATACATTGCAAATAACATTTTCCAGATGAAAACTTTAGTTTTCTTTGATTTTTTTCAATAAAATTTGATATAACTCCCTATGGATTAGAAAAGACCACTACTGATTATGACGTCGGAAAGTCAAGGTCAGATATTCATTCAATGCAATGGTTTCCAGATGATAGCTTTGGTTTTTCCTGAGCCTTTTCAATGATATCTTATATCATAATTATAAAACTTTATATCATAACTCCCAATGACTTAGATTTTTTATTTTTAGGTCTAAAGGTCAAGGTGATAAATTTATATCTTGCAATAATTGGTTTCCTGGTGATAATTCAACTTTTTTTTAGGTTTTGCATTAGGTTTACCTTTATTCAATATGACTTAAAAAAAGACACTTATTGATTTTGAGTTCAAAAGGTCAAAGACCAGGTGAGAAATTTATATATAGCATACTAATTTAAAGGTGACAGGTTAGTTCCCAAAACTCCAAAGAACTTTTAGAAAACTTTTCGAAAGTCATTAACATCAAACGTACGTCTTTTCTAGACTTTAAGCAACCTTTCCTTGTCATAAATTAAAAAGTAGGCTTTTAGTATCATAGGAAACTGGTTCTTCAATAAAAATGGAACTCGGAAATTTTCATATCCTGTGATTGGTCATCAACAAAATTACATTGTTAAATATCACTCCGATTCTACATACAATACTCCGAAGTTTAAATTAAATCTGGAGTTCCTCATTGACAACATTTATATAGGCGTTGGAGACCAGGTCTTCCAATGGACCTAATTATACTCCTTTTTCAGCCGACCTATTTTTATATCCCTATGAATCAGAAAACTTCTACATGAGAAGAAGAAAACACTTGCTCAACAACACGACATTCAGTTATCTTGATCAAGTTTTATCAATTAACAAAAATTACTTCCATTCATATGTCGACTCGATATACTTGCATATCCCAGTGAACTAGAAATAAAAGACACCACAAAGTCTGCCACATCTGTTGCATATTTGAATGTTTTACTGACTAAAGACGATAAGGGCCAAATAACAACTAAATTGTATGACAAACGAGATGACATCAGTTTTTCCTTTGTCAACTTTCCCTATCTGTATTTATGTTGTAATATTCCGTTATCACCTGCACATGGGGTTTAACTCCCCCTACTTATACGATACTCAAGAACATGCTCTGAGTACGATTAATTTTTAAACCGAGGCAGGCTACTGACCGATAAGTTGATGTTTCAGGGATTTCAAAAACCTCGTTTAAAGTCAGCATTTCGTAAATTCTACGGTCGTAATAATGAATTGTTAGTAAATATGACCTAAATGTATTATTGGGTCGTATTTTGACTGACGATTTTTATACCAATTGTTAGGCCTTTGTTTTTATATTTTTAATTTGACTTGCGAATATTCCGTTTAACTGATCAGTACTTCACGGCGGAAGTGACCGGTCGACAGAAGATTTCTACTCCTTCTAGGCACTTGATCCCACCTTTAGAATTTCCGGGGGTCCGTGTTTTTATGCCCTGTTCAAAGATTTGAATTGTTTGTAGATTTATTTTAGATCGATCACTGTTTCTTATCTTCGACTTTTTCATTCTTTGTAAGCTTTTACAATGATACTTGAAGTCATGAATTTCTTTAAATTAAAAAGACCCGTATTGCCTTTAAGGCCAAAAGCTGAAAGGTCAAGGTTGATCTTTTTTTTACTCCATCTGCATTTTTTGGTTCTTCCACCCTCTTCTTTTTCCCTGATTCTCTGAATCTTGTCTTTTGCTTCAAGTCAAGTCACCAAATTTTAATAAATCTAACGATACTTGTCAATTTTTACAGAGACCAGGGTTTCAACAAAGCAGATGAAGATGAGGATATTTGTTGGCTGATCTATATTTAATTGACAAACTGTCCATGATAAGTCACCAAAAACAAAATGCCTCAGACGACTAGTATTTTTGCAATTCCATTAATGTTTTGTTCTTTGCCGACATATGAAATTTTTGTTTTTTTTTTCAATAACACCATGCTTAAATATTTTTCAGTGGGGATTGATCTGTGACAAAAAATGGGTGACAGCAACAGTTTCTTCGGTACAAATGGCGGGTCTTCTCATTTCCGGTTTTCTGGGTGGACAGCTGGCGGATCTGCTGGGCCGGAAACCAACATTCTTCGTGTCTCTTTTCATTCTATCCGCCTCTAATATTGTGGCTGGATTTTCCCAGTCCTGGGTGATGTTCGCTGTGACCCGTTTTATTATCGGGCTGGGGTGCGGGGCGTACCTCACCGTATTCTATACATTCTCTGTCGAGTTCACACCAACTAAATTTCGTCCTATTCAATTAGCCGTCCCTGATTGGTCAATCTGGGCTGCCTTGTTGGGACTTTGCTCCTATTTGTTGAAGGACTGGAGAAGTCTTCATATTCTGACTGGAGTTTTGACAGGAATTAGTCTCTTTTCTTGGTGGTATGTCTTTTATATAGAGAGCACATGGTTAAAAGCTTACATGTATTTCAAAATGAAAAAAAAAATATTGAAAACTTGTGATGAAAGCATCACTTATTTTTAATAGGATTGTTCCTGAGAGTTTCCGATGGTTAGTATCACATGACAAATTGACTGAAGCTGACAGAGTCATCAAGAAAATTGCTCGCATAAACAATCATCCCAAACCCGAGCTTAATAAACTCCAAAACGTTGTAGAATCAGATGCTACGTTTCAAGGAGACAGGAAATATACATTTTTAGAGCTATTTCGCAATCGAACACTGCTGATCAACACTGCATTAGCTGGTGTTGCCTGGTAATATTTTTCTCTACCCTTTTAAGGGAAATTTTCACTGGTAATATTTTTTCTGCTTTTTTTCTTTTGGGGTAAAAATAGTGGATGCAATGTTGCTTAGCAACGTTATGGGCGTAATCAATGTTGCTTTGCAACCTGATGGCTTTTATTATCATTTGCTACCCTTTCATGATTTTTTTTTAATATAAAAGATAAGAATAACACTAAATTTATATTTAGGAACCTTACAGTATTGTCGAATATTGATCAATTGTAAACAGATGACAGTCACGTATTTAATATATAATCTTTCAGGTTCTCCAGCGGTTATGCCTACTACGCTATTTCCTATAGCGTGGACCAACTCTCAGGAAATCTTTACCTCAACATGTTTCTCCTTAGTGTCATCGACATTCCCGCTCTTATGAGCATTTGGTACCTCAGTAACCGGTACGTATTCAGTAACCGATAAATACCCCAGTAACCGGTAAGTGTTCAGTGTTAAATAAGTATACCCCAGTAACCGGTTAGTATTCAGTAACCGTTAAGTTCCTCATTAAGCGTCAAGTATTCAATAATCAATAAGTACTTCATTGACCGGTAAGTATTCAGTAAATGACCGGTAAGTACTCAGTAACCAGTATCAGTAATTGGTAAGTATTCAGTAACTAGTACCTCAGTAACTGTTAAGTATTTAGTAACCAGTACCTTTGTAACCGATAAGTTAACTGTAACCCATAAGTACCTCAGTAACCGGTAAGTATTCAGTAACCGATAAGTTTCTCAGTAACTGGTAATTAGAGTCGCTGGTAAGTACCTCAATAACTGGTAAGTATTCAGTAACTAATAAATACTTCTTTTACTGGTAAGTACCTCAATATATAATGAATTTACAAAAATACTCTCGTAATCGGCGATTACCTTAGTAACCAACAATAAATGACTGGTAAGTATTCTGGCATTAGGCATTTAGCACTTCAATAACTAGCAAGTACTTGACCTTTCGTTACCGAAAAGTACCACAGAACCAATGAGCAGCTAGTTAGTCACCATTAATCATCCCTTTTCCTGGCATATAAGGATTTTCTTTTGTTTGTACCCTTTTTTAGTTTGCTTTTAATATGTAGCATAAGTGATTCAATTCTACCCTTTTGATTCTGCAAAGGACAAGGTATGGTACGGCCGAATTTAGCCCCATACTGGAACTAAAAATCAAAACATAGTTAAAATTGATAGTTTGCAGTTAAAGGTGCTTAGACACAGATTTGAAGTTAATATTTAATCAAATTTTCTGTATAATTTCATGACTTATATGTTGTTTTAGCATTTCATACGAAAATTTGATAAAAATATTATTTTATCCGGAAATTAATGAAATTTCGAATTTCTGGACGCGTTTGATCAACACATCCTTGCACTTTCACAAATTTTAACTTTATCCTTATTACTTTAGAAAAGTAGCAATTTTGTTGTTTATTAATGAAAAATATTAAAACTATAATGCAGAAATTTCAGAGTAAAAATGTAGAAAGCAAAATCCTCTCACCAGTATTGTCAGTCCGTGCTCAGTGGTGTGTGCAGAGTTTAACAATTGAACACACCCGGTGAAACGTAAACATTAACAACAACAGAGCTCGTGCCCTACAAAAAAGTTTACGTTTCACGGGTGTTTCAATTTGTTAAACTCTGTACACAACTACACAACACTGAGCACGGGCTGACAATACTTAAGTGAGTGGGTTTTGCTTTCGCACATTTTTACTCTGAATTTGCTGGATTATACATTTATATACAACAATATTGCTACTTTTCTTAAGTATTAAGGATAAAGTTAATAATTATGAAAGTGCAAGGATGTGTTAATCAAACGCCTCCCGAAACACTGTAGTTTCAATAATTTCCAGATTAAATAAGTTTTTAATTTATTTTTGGTGTGAAATGCTACAGCAACATATAAGTTGTGATATTATACAGAAAATTTGAGAAAATATAAACTTCAAATCTGTGTCTATGCACCTTTAAGAACTTTAAATGATGCTTGTTTCAATATTAGCACTAATTTTGATTCAAAACGTACACCAAGGTCACAAAAGGGTGTCAAATACATTTTCCTCAATTATAATAGAATTTTATTTTGAGATACTATTTATTTCGGAAAACAAAGAACACAAGCTTGCCTATGAAAGATTTTTACACTCAAGATGAATCTTATACTAGTGCATAGAATACATGTACATAAATTTGATAGATAGGCAAACTTGTGGTCTATATTTTCTAAAACAAAGTGTGCTTTAAAATTGATGCAAACAAAAATAAGAAATTCAGAACTTTGCATGTTTTATGATCTTCGCTTGACCTTTGTGTATCCCAAACTTTTGGAATCAATGCTAACAGGTTTTTAATGATGAGCTATTGATCGTTCTTAAAGATAATCCAAATCAGGGACCAAAAAGGAGTCTTAGCTTATCCGATCCTTTGAAAATGTTCTCTTTTTTAAAGATTCAATGATAAATGGATTTCATCCATCAAAATAGCGTAGTCACATACAATATCTAAAGCACCATAGATAACCTTAATTCTAAGAACGTCTGTATTTTGTTACTTTTTAACAGTATCGGTCGCAGATGGACCTGTCTGGGATACTTTGTGATTGGCTCCCTGGCCTGTCTGGGCGTGGCAGTATCACAGATGATAGGTAAGTCACTGTCATTATAGAAAAATAAAAGTATTTCTCCCAGCAATTTTTAGCTCTCCAGAGCCAAAGGCTCAAGTAAGCTTCTCTGATCAAGAAAGTCCGCCGTGTGTCGTTTGTTGTCTTTTAGGGTTTTCTTCTTCAGTATCCCTGCTTCATATTTATCCATGTCCTTGATTAAAGGTTGTTCAAGTTTGTTTATATGGAGGTCAAGGCACTTTTTTGAAAGGAAAATAAGGAACAAATACGGGAATTAGTGTGGGATCGTTTTAAAATATTCTCAAGAACAGCAGGATTATAGATATGCAAGATCTTTATTTAGCAGGCCCGAAGAACGCAGGGGGGGGGGGGGGCTACTTATTTCTGAGTATAGTATAGTACAGTATGAACCGTAATTTAATCAAAAACTTACACGAGAAGAAGACAACACTTGTTGTGGCCTTCATCTCGACATTTAGATAAACCGACAACATATTATCAATTAACAATAGTTACTTCCATTCATATGTTGACTCGATATATCCCAGTGAGCTTGAAATAAAAGATACCACAGAGTCTGACATTTCTGTTTCTTATTAGGATATTTTACTAGAAAAAGACTTTAATCACCGTGTTAAACCCCACATATGGGGACGCGGAATAGTGACCTTTGGGGGTGCGGATTTCGAAGCGTAATTTGCTAGGAAGACTGAATTAGCTTTTCTACAGCGATTGAGATGGATTTAGTTCTATGTTAACATACCACGGAACTCAGTGATTTCTCCGCTTACTGATACCAGTATCCCACTTCACAATTCGTGCTAGAAGTACATGAACTATGGAACGCCGCAGCTGCCTTATGTGGAGAACATTCATTATATGCTGATACTTTAACATTATATGCTGATAGTTTGTCATTATATGCTGATACTTCAACGTTATATGCTAATACTTCAACATTATATGCTGATACCTTAACATTATATGCTGATACTTTAACATTATATTCTGATACTTTAACATTATATGCTGATACTTCAACATTATATGCTGATACTTTGTCATAATATGCTGATAGTTTGTCATTATATGCTGATACTTTAACATTATATGCTGATACTTTAACATTATATGCTGATAGTTTGTCATTATATGCTGATACTTTAACATTATATGCTGATACTTCAACATTATATGCTGATACTTCAACATTATATGCCGATAATTTGTCATTATATGCTGATACTTTAACATTATATTCTGATACTTCAACATTATATGCTGATACTTCACTATATGGTGCTTTAAAAAATAGGTTAAACATCGGGATCTTCATACTAAAATTCTTTGACAAGAGAAAAAATCCAAAAAAAATTGTTTTCAATTGCAAAGTTTTAGTATATATATACACGTACATGTATTGGTTTATATACATGTACATGTATTGGCAAATTGATGGGACGAAAAGGGATAGGATGCACGTGTAAGCAGTCTTGAATATACTGGCGTATTTGGGAAGGGGTAGAGAGTACATATATAATATTAAGAGTGAACTAAACGAAGATAGCCTTGCAAAAAACGCGTGTACTGCACGAAAATTTAAGATATTTTGGAAGTTCAGAAACTCTTCATGGTATTAAAACTTCGCTTTTTTTAAACATCAATGATATTACAGGACATCAAAGCAGAATAATATAATTTATAGGGGACAAACATTTGATTCGTTTGGGGAGGGGGTGCAATTTTTTTTTCGAGTCAGATTATTTATTTTCATGTCACTTCGTGAATGATAGATTATTCATTTTCTAGATGACCAGGTACAGATTATTTATTTTCACACAAAACAAAAAAGTCTAACCAAACTCGAAAACTCCATTTCTTTGGGGAGAGGGGTGGGGCTACCTCCACGCCAAAGTCATCCTAGTACAGATGATTAATTCACATCATATGATACCCCCCCCCCCCCCTCCCACGCGTATTGCATGGTCGTTCCGGCCTCAGAACCACTCGTCAGCACTTAAGTTTTCGATAGGTCTTTTATATGTAATTTTCAAATCGGTAGGACGGGGGTTGTTGTTCAGGGATTTCATTGTTATGACATCGACATAGTAATTTAGGCTACTAATGACTCAAAAGCTTTTCCAGAATCTAGCTGCCATTGCATTTTAACTGGACTATTTAAGCTGGTCTATACATCCAATGCCATGCATGCGATCATTCTGGAAAACTGTAAAATCACCGAAACTGAGATTATGAAGTTAGTTTGAACTCTGTGAATATTGACGGAGTTGTAATCTTCCCAACACCCCACCCCTCCCCCTTCCAAAAAAAAAAAAATTAAAAATTATAAACTCAAAAATAATATTTTTAACATCCAAACAACTAATATGATATTTCACTAAAAATTCTTCAATTTCAATTAAATTATACCTCATGCAGTATAAATTCATCTATAAGAAATCATATTAAAATACATGTATTTACTAGTATTTATATATTTTTTGCAATAATACATATAATCATGTAACTTGTAAGCCAGTAAACACATTCCAGAGGGGTATACAGGATTTCAAGATGGGGGGGGGGGGGTGTTTGTTTGATTATTGTTTAACGTCCTTCTCGAGAATTTTTCACTCAGATTGAGACGCCACCACTTGCCGGTGGAGAGCTGCAAATTTTTTACCTATACTCGGCACTCAGGGCCATTGAGCAGCGAGGGATCTTTTTCGTGCCAACACCTACTGCGACACGGGGCCTCGGTTTATACGGTCTCATCCGAAGGACCGGTCTCCACGTCCCACAGTGGGATTCGAACCCGCGACGTAAGGACCAACTCCTTACTTCGCGATTCTAGAGCAGACGCTCTAACCACTGCGCCACGTGGGCGACGGGGGGGGGGGGGGGGGGGGGTGATATTAATGACAAAATGACAACATAAACTCAAAATACTACTAGTAAAAATGAGTATATAGGAGCAAAGATTTTCTCAAGATTCAGGTTTTCTCTATTGAATATCAAGAACATAAATGTTTTCTAAAACTTTTCTTTCTTTCAACCTCTTACTTTTTTTTCTTCATTTTTTTTTTAAAGACGTACATATACCACATATATATAAGTGTGGTACGTCTTTTTTAAACGTGGGTTTTCTTGACTGAAAGTGTTAGAATCTAAGTGTATTTAAAGTAGATTCAAAATTTTTTATTAACAACCCGAAAGATAAGCCATCATGATTACACATACATATTTTGAGATACAACGTTAGTTTTCCTTGAAATGATGAATGTGAACAACAATCAAAATGTCAATATCCACTTGAACCTTTAAAATCCGACCAAAGAGACCTTATTAGCTGAGAAAAGGCGTGCATACGTCGAACAACCTGCAATAATCATTTTAATAAAAACTTAATATTCTCACACATTCTGTTAAAACATGCGTTTTGGACGATTTTCGTATCACGATCCCGATGTTTTACCTATTTTTAAAACACCATATAGTGAAGTATCATCATATAATGTTAAAGTATCAGCATATAATGTTGAAGTATCAGCATATAATGTTAAAGTATCAGCATATAATGTTGAAGTATCAGCATATAATGACAAACTATCCGCATATAATGTTGAAGTATTAGCATATAATGTCTCAGCATATAATGACAAAGTATCAACATATAATGACAAACTATCAGCATATAATGTTAAAGTATCAGCATATAATGTTAAAGTATCAGCATATAATGTTGAAGTAACAGCATATAATGACAAACTATCAGCATATAATGACAAACTATCAGCATATAATGTTAAAGTATCAGCATATAATGAATGTTCTCCACATAAGGCAGCTGAGGCGTTCCATAATGAACACTTCAACATTTTCTGGCTATGACACGCGGAGTTGCAGATTTGATCGGTTCTTGGTGAAAATTCTTGCTTAATTTATCATTCTTCATCATTTGAGTTGTATGAGGGGTTTCTTTGCATAATTTTGCAGAAAATACTGTAATAGACTTTCACCCCAAATAAACGGCAAAACCTTCAATATTATTGTGTGCAACCCGGCGGTTGACTTTTAGTGGAGGTAGGGGGCAAGGAATCATTTTTCATTCTATCTTGTTTGTAGGAATCTGCTGTGTTTAGAATGCATATGTAAAAGAAATAAATTCAAATGAGACTACTAACTCGCACAAGATGAAACAGGCCTTTATTTTTATACTGATTTTGACTACGGAAAGTTCCGTCCACCAGATCAATACATAGGGCTCACGGCGGGTGTGACCGGTCAACGGGGGATGCTTACTCCTCCTAGGCACCTGATCCCACCTCTGGAATTTTATCAAAAGGTAATTAAACTATCTTGGCATAAGTAGCATGAGCATGCATTTCCCTCTGTCACGTACAACATAAAACATAACACAAAACGTAAAACTTATTTTGAGTAAATATGGCGAATTCGAACCAAAAATATATGTACTAGTATTTTTAAGACTCTACACAACAAAATTATGCATTTCATGGGCTCTCTTTACAGAAAAAGTATTTTATATCTTGCGTATCTACCTCGCTGTATTTTTTTTTTACTTTAATAAAAGCTTCTCCACAAGTCGCCCGCGCGGTTGGAGCGTTCGCTATAGAGTAGCTGAGTAAGGAGTTCATTCTTTCGTAGGGGGTTCGAATTCCAGTGCGGGATGTGACCCATCCTTCGCGTATAAACCGAGGTCCCATGTTGCAGTAGGTGCTGGTACGAAAAAGATCCCTCACTGTTCAAAGGCCCAAGTGCCAAGTACAGATCTAAATTTCTCGAAGGGACGTTAAACAAATAAAGTTAACAAATCTTCTCCACAAAAGTTTATAACAAGTGACATATTTGAAACGCTTCGGTTTTCTCACTTTGAAGCTTATATATTGTTTGTACGTTTCGACGTCCATAAAATGTCCACAGCATTTTGAGCACATACATTTTTTACATTAAAATGGGTTTTTGAAAGTCTTTTTCCACACTTCCCGAACAATCATGCAAAG